TGGGGCCCTTTAAAGTCCTGAGAAGATTGAACGAGGTGTGTTACAGGTTACAACTGCCTATTGAGTACAAGAATATTAACCCCTCGTTCCATGTGTCTCTTCTCAGGCCGGTGGTAGCTGGCCCACTCCAAGAAGATGAGATAAGAGAGACCCCTCCGCCCCCTTTGGACATCGAGGGGGCCCCGGCGTACAGGGTCCGGACCATCTTGGACTCGAGGCGCCGGATGAGTGGTCTCCAGTATCTCGTGGAGAGGGAGGGGTACGGTCCGGAGGAACGGTGCTGGGTGCCTAGGAGGGACATCCTAGATCCATCCCTCCTGACTGAGTTCCACCGTGGGCATCCCACGCGCCCGGGTCCGCGTCCTCCTGGCCGTCCCCGAGGCCGGGGTCGGCGCACGGCTGGAGCCGCGCGTCAAGGGGGGGGGTACTGTCACGGATTCTGCCGAGGCTGCTCCTCCTCCTGGTTCGGGCAGGCTTCGGCGTTCGTCGTCCCCGGAGTACTAGCTGCCACCGTTGAATGTTTCTATGTTTGATTGCTTTTGTCTGTCTTTTACACCTGTGTCCGTTTGTGTCTGATTACGTGTCCTATAAGTTGCCTGTTTTGTATTGGTTAGGTTGTGTGTTGTTTTTCGCCTGTCCGTAGTGCTGCGTGTTTTTGTATCTGTTTCGTTGTTTAGTGTAATACGCATAGTTTGCGTATTGCTCGCCTCTGTTTTGTTTTGAGGCCGTTTACTGTATCTTTGCCTAGTGGTTTCACAGTAAACTTTGTTGGATTAAGCTTCGGTGTCCTGCGCCTGACTCCCACACCACATACACCTCAGCCTTGACAATAATGCCTTGTATTCAGGACAAAAACTTAATTTACTTGCCACATTTTTTGCAGTATTACTTTAGTGCCTTCTTGCAAACAGGATGCATGTGTTTAAATATTTTTATTCTGTACAGCAGGGATCATCAACTACATTCAGCCGCGGGCCGATTTTTTTTCTTGAGCAGATGGTCAGCGGGCCGGAACATAATTACAAATAATTTGTAGACTGCAAATTGACCGCAAGAAGCCCAAACAGATATATTTGACTCAAACATATTCATTTCAAACTTTGCTTCCATTTGTGTACAATCACATCGATCTATTATGCATGGGAATAATTCCAAACAGATTTCCAAAATAAAAATCACAAGGAGCTGATTAGCTTTTTATTTTTATTTACTTGGGGGGGCAAATAAAATCAGCTGCGGGCCAAATTCGTCCCACAGGCCGCCAGTTGGGTAACCCTTTTGTACAGGCTTCTTTCTTTTCACTCTGTCATTTAGGTTAGTATTGTGGAGTAACTACAATGTTGTTGATCCATCCTCAGTTTTCTCCTGTTACAGCCATTTAACTCTGTAACTGGTTTAAAATCCCCATTGGCCTCATGGTGAAATCCTTGAGCTGTTTCCTTCCTCTCCGTCAACTGAGTTAGGAAGGACGCCTGTAGCTTTGTAGTGACTGGGTGTATTGATACACTATCCAATGTGTAATGAATAACTTCACTATGCTCAAACGGATATTCAATGCCTGTTTTTGATATTTACCCATCTAACAATAGGTGCCCTTCTTTGCGAGGCATTGGAAAACCTCCCTATTTTTTGTTGTTGAATCTGTGCTTGAAATTCACTGCTCGACTGAGGAACCTTACAGATAATTGTATGTGTGGGGTACAGTGATGGGGTAGTCATTCATATTGAACACCATTTTTGCACACAGAGATAGTCCATGCAACTTTTGTGACTTGTTAAGCACATTTTTAATCCAGAGGTTATGTAGGCTTGCCATAACAAAGGAGTTGATTACTTATTGACTCAAGACAGTTCAGCTTTTCATTTTTTAAACATTTCTAAAAACATAATTCCACTTTGACATTATGGGGTATTGTGTGTAGATCAGTGACACAAAATATAATTCATTTTAAATTCCGGCTGTAACAACAAAATGTGGAAAAAGTCAAGGGTGAATACTTTCTGAAGGCACTGTAAATGTGTATCACTGCACCTAAGACAATTGAATAGCGCAACAAAGTTCAAATGGGAATACAATGTCAGATATTTTGTTTATTTATACAACTTAATGTGTTATCCCTGTTCTTCATCTAATAGAAGAACCAAATGAACTGGATTGCAGTTGAGATTACCTTAAAAGTACATGGTGCAAGTGATCAATGCCGTTTATTATAGGCATTTATTATAAAAATTGTGAAGATCTCCACAGACCTGCGATCTTGAACATGCACTCTTTTTATGATAACACATTTATAGTTACATCAGCGTCAAAATGTGGCCATGGATGTGTTACTCATTTTAAGGTTGAATAAATACTGTTACATTAGTCTGTAAGTTAGCCTTACCTTTAGGCTACTGTATTACAAAAGTAACATTGAATTGTGTTTGGTTGACAACACAACAAATAATCAGCATTTAAAAGAGATGTATCTACTGCTTGAATAGTTTAATCTGTCCCACTGACTTAGTCAGGCTTTAATTCCATTAATAATTGATATGTTGGATTCACTTCTCCAACTCGACCAAAAATCCAAGTTAAAGAATAGGACAAAATCAAATCAAACTGTAAGTGCACTTTAAATAAAGTTTGATTTGATTTAGTCCTATTCTTTAACTTAGATTTTTGGTTGAGATGGAGACGTGAATCCAACATATACAGTACATTATTAACTTTTAGGTGAAATTTAAAATCAACCAAAGCTTTAAACCCTATGCCTGTATGTATTGTATATTTTTTGTTGAATCCTGAGTCGAATTGAAACAATAGCTGTTGATGACTTCACAAATGCTATATAGGCCTAAATAGCATCATTGATGGTATATGATTGATTTGCTTTGTTAAACCTACCCTTTGGAATGACTTCCGATACCAAAAGTGAATCTATTTAGTTTGTACATTTTTAGATTTTAGTCATTTATCAGATGCTCTTATCCAGAGCGACTTACAGTTAGTGCATTCATCTTAAAATAGCTAGTGGGACAACCTCATATCACAGTCATAGTAAGTATGATAGTACATAGTACATCCTCTGCTCTTGTCCTTCTAGACCTGTCTGCTGCCTTTGATACTGTGAACCATCAGATCCTCCTCTCCACCCTCTCCGAGCTGGGCATCTCCGGCGCGGCTCACTCCTGGATTGCGTCCTACCTGACCGGTCGCTCCTACCAAGTGGCGTGGCGAGAAGCTGTCTCCGCACCACGTGCTCTCACCACTGGTGTCCCCCAGGGCTCAGTTCTAGGCCCTCTCCTATTCTCCCTATACACCAAGTCACTTGGCTCTGTCATATCCTCACATGGCCTCTCCTATCATTGCTACGCTGACGATACACAACTAATCTTCTCCTTTCCCCCTTCTGATAACCAGGTGGCGAATCGCATCTCTGCATGTCTGGCAGACATATCAGTATGGATGACGGATCACCACCTCAAGCTGAACCCTGGCAAGACGGAGCTGCTCTTCCTCCCGGGGAAGGACTGCCCGTTCCATGATCTCGCCATCACGGTTGACAACTCCGTTGTGTCCTCCTCCCAGAGTGCGAAGAGCCTTGGCGTGACCCTGGACAACACCCTGTCGTTCTCCGCTAACATCAAGGCGGTGACCCGATCCTGCAGGTTCATGCTCTACAACATTCGGAGAGTACGACCCTGCCTTACACAGGAAGCGGCACAGGTCCTAATCCAGGCACTTGTCATCTCCCGTCTGGATTACTGCAACTCGCTGTTGGCTGGCCTCCCTGCCTGTGCCATTAAACCCCTACAACTCATCCAGAATGCCGCAGCCCGTCTGGTGTTCAACCTTCCCAAGTTCTCTCACGTCACCCCCCTCCTCCGCACACTCCACTGGCTTCTAGTTGAAGCTCGCATCCGTCACAAGACCATGGTGCTTGCCTATGGAGCAGTGAGGGGAACGGCACCTCCGTACCTTCGGGCTCTGATCAGTCCCTACACCCAAACGAGGGCATTGCGTTCATCCACCTCTGGCCTGCTGGCTCCCCTTCCTCTGCGGAAGCATAGTTCCCGCTCAGCCCAGTCAAAACTGTTCGCTGCTCTGGCACCCCAATGGTGGAACAAGCTCCCTCACGACGCCAGGACAGCGGAGTCACTCACCACCTTCCGGAGACATTTGAAACCCCACCTCTTTAAAGAATACCTGGGATAGGATAAAGTAATCCTTCTACCCCCCCCCCCCCCCCCCAAAAAAAATAAAAAAATAAAAATATATAAAAAAATAAATAAAATAAAATAAAAATTGTAAAGTGGTTATCCCACTGGCTATAGGGTGAATGCACCAATTTGTAAGTCGCTCTGGATAAGAGCGTCTGCTAAATGACGTAAATGTGCCCTTGAGCAAGGCACTTAACCCTAATTGCTCCTGTAAGTCGCTCTGGATAAGAGCGTCTGCTAAATGACTAAAATGTAATGTAAATGTACATTTATCCTCAATGAAGTAGCTATCATCAAAGTCGGAGCTAGTAGGGGGGGGGGGGAGTATAGTGCGAGTGTTAGTTCACAAAAGGCTTTTTGGGGGGGCTTTGTCAGTGACAAATATCAAAGCTAAGCAGGGCTGGGTTAAAACCCTGGATTGGAGACCAAAGAGATAGCTATAGATAGCTGTAGAATTTTCCAGAAGGAGGTGCTTTTTTTCCTGATAGTGGATATAACATTGAAGATCTGACGTTGTTTGAAAGGTTCAACATATTTTATACAAGCTTTGTCTATGTTGAAAATTGGTTACCATGATGACATAATCCTGTGGTTGAAATTTCTCCCTCAAAACAACAGTTTACGTTGACTTTTTGCAAACCAATTAATCTTACACATAGATTCCACGTCACAATATGTTGACAAATTACGTTGAAACAATGTTGATTCAACCAGTTTATGCCCAGTGGGTAACCTCTGAGTGGACAGGATTTAGTTCAAGTGGCTTGATGGTCTCAGGCCAGTGACATCTCCAGACATCAGAAGCCTTTGAAAATCTTGATCTTGTGTTTTTCGGCCAGAAGCAGGGTGACGTTGTACTCATAGTCCGCATCATGCACCCCGGTGTGGCGGAATGCTCCTCCCTGGTGATTCTCTTCCCAGTAGTGGTGCCAGTTTCCGTACTGGTCCGCTCCGAACCCGTACACATTGACCTAAATAATACAATACACCATTATACAGAGATACTAGTCCGCCCTGGATTTGCCACTGGCACTGACTCTTCTATGTGACTTATAGTCACATACTTATGTGCTTTGGCCTAATGCCATGTGCCACAGAATTGATGAGGTGGAATGTTGCTGTACTGATTGATGGGTTGATATGAGTCTCCCGAGTGGCGCAGTGGTCTAAGGCACTGCATCGCAGTGCTACCTGTGCCACTAGATCCTGGTTTGAATCCAGGCTCTGTTGTAGCCGGCTGCGACCGGGAGACCCATGGGGCGGCGCACAATTGGCCCAGGGTAGGGGAGGGAATGGCCGGCAGGGATGTAGCTCAGTTGGTAGAGCATGGCGTTTGCAACACCAGGGTTGTGGGTTCAATTCCCAGTATGAAAAATAAGAGTGTCTGCTAAATGACTACAATGTAATATGATGTTCGGGTACTGTGACACATACACTTGATTTTGTAGAGCTAATTTATCCATTTGCAGATTGTTTTTCGTGAAACGTACAAAACATAGGCCTATTGATAAGGACAATGCTTTAACTCTAGATGACAGTATGCAGTTACTAGAAAAACTTAATTATACAGTTACTAGAAAAAAATGTTTTGCTCTTCTAACTGACTCGGTTGAGCTATACTATAGCACATTGGGACTGTTCCGGTGTGTCTAGTTCAAAAACAGGCACAGTTGCCCCTCCCACCCATGCCGTCTGCATCACTTGGGGCAACTGTAGAGATTCCTGTTTTTCTACAGTCAAAAGACTAATAGCCAAAGGGCTGTTGAAAACTAAGGCAAAAATGGCCGCATTTTTGTTTTTTTTACATTGCAGTCAACCTATTTCCTGAACTCTTAAAATGATTAAACATTTTGTTTCCTGTAACAAAGTAGATTTTCAATTTCTACTTCAAATGGAGCACACTTTTTGAAAATCATGTATTAAATAATATGAAATAAATGTCATTAAAATAAGTTCAGTCACCCACATAAGCATACCTGGAGGCACATGTACAGTATCAACGTTGAAACATGTTTCTCTTTGTTTGGGCTAATGGCTTCCCAAAATGTGTTTGTAGAGCAGCAGTGGGTAGCTATTACACTTTTAGAAAAAAAGGTTCCAAAAGGGTCCTTCGGCTGTCCCCATGGGAGAACCAGTGGTGACCCGTCATTCAGGGCAGGTGGGGCAGAGCCCCACATTTTTAGCAACAAAATAAAATGGGGTAGCCTGTTTGGCATGTTATTTTGGCATAAATACGTGTCACATATCAGTTTGCAAACAATGTAAAACAAATAATCATTGAGTTAATAAAGCCTCCATACAAACATGGTCTCTTTTTTGCTTTCTTGAGTAAGGCAGCTCCAAAATGCAGGTGTTTCAGCCTAGCTCAGTGCTTTCTGTGGTGGTGGGGCAGCCAGCAGAAAATACGGAGCGTAGGTGTTGGTAATGTTCTCTAGTTGCGCCGTGATTGGCTCAGTGTTCTGTCACTCATGGGGACACTACGTCACTGACAAATCTAAGGGTAGAGCTGAAAATTCAAGAGCCTTGGGTGCTGCCATAGAGTTACATTAGAAGTGCCCATCCAAGAAGGCTCAAGGTCATTGGCCACAGATAAAATTACGTCAAATCACGTTATATATACAGTAGCTTTGATTGGACTGATCATGTCAACATCATACTTTCAAAATCATCATGAATCAAGTTGACAATCTACTGGCAAATCCTTTTTAATCCTTGTCATATGAAGAGAAATAATGAAGAGAAATTATAGATAAAATGTATTGGTGCTCCTCGGCCACTGAACATAACACAACAAGTTGGAAATCGCAAATTCAACAATGAGTGGTTTGGAAGGGATCAGTGGCTAACTGCAAGCATTGCAAAGCAATCAGTAGCCTGCTATTCAGTGGAGTGTGTGTGAGATCCCAATTCTTGGTTTAAGGTTCTCTTTTCCAAGCTTAAAATGATAAACATTCAACATGGGCCATGCTGTCAATCTAGCATGATTTCTGCCGCGCTCAAAACAACTGTTAAAATCTGACTTCAGTGAGTTCAAGACAACTGGGAACTCAGGAAAAAAAGAGCTCCGACTGGGAAAATACGTTTTGAACGGTCATTCAACTCGGAATTGTACGTCGGGAACTCGGGCCTCTTTCTAGAGCTACGACCTGAAGATCACTGATGTCATCATGATTCAAACTAGTTTTTTTCAGAGTTCCCAGATGTGTTGAAAGCACCATAAATCCAGAGAATGACAGACTTTGATGACAAAGTTTGATGACAAAATCTGCCCACGAAGGACCGCCGCGCCACCTTCCTGTTCAAGTGAGCACAGCACAACAAGGTGAGTACAAAAATGTATTGAATGCTGCTGCATAAATTATGTAATATGCCAGGGAGATATGTATACTGTAGCTAAGAAAGTAATACTGTAGTAAGCTGGGAGAATACTGTAAGAACGGCCCATGTTTTGAATTCTGTCGCTGTACATTTCAAAAGTGCTGAACAAATAGTTATATTGACTACGTCCGTCCTAGCTCGCTCATTAATGTCTTAATCGAAATTACGGATTGCCTCTTATCGCCTTCTCGTCCGCTTATGCCATAGTTTGTACATCTCAATTGTCAGTAGAAACCACATTTGTTTAAGCAAGTCAGCCATATCACCTATGTTTTTCTAAAAAGGCAGTAAATGAGGCTGAATGAACTGTTTCGCTGCCAGACAAGGCTCCGCTGATAGCCAGGTTTAGCAGTGGTAAGGTGTTGGGACTGCTGTTGGGACTCTGCTGTTGGGACAGCGTTATGTAGGCCCTAACAGTTTGTGGGCACTGTTTGTAGTGCAATTAATGTATTGTTTAGTGTTGTGTTGTGTAGTGTAGTGGCTTTGCTAGCATGCATCCCCCAATTCTTTTGGGGGTTTGCCCCACCAAGATTGACATGCTAAAATCGCCACTGAGGAGAAATCTTTTTGGTTCCAGGTAGAACCTTTTTGATTCCAGGTAGGACCCTTTTGGGTTCCATGTAGAACCCTCTGTGGAATGGGTTTTACACGAAACCCAAAAGGGTTATATCTGGAACCAAAACGGGTTTTCGATAGCACCTTGTTTTCTAAGAGTGTAGGACGTGGTACGTGGTAATTGCCTGCAATTCACACCTCCCGTTTAGATGCCGATAATAAGCATAACATTCGGCGCTCTGCCCCTCTTTCTCGCCCAAAATGTGTTTATTTGTAGAGCAGCAGTCGGTAGCTAATACAGTACTGCACAGCGTGTGGCCATTTCACCGACGCAGGCGGTTACTTCACTTCCATCAGTGGTTAAATTATTTGGGCACTTGGGACACTTTTTCCAGCTTTAAACTCTGTAAGACCTCAGTGCAAACTCAACGCAAACCCAGCGCATGCTTTGCAGTCACAGAACACACTCATAGTGTACAGAACTTTGGCAGACAAACACAAAAGGAAGTGTAAAGCTTGTGAAGGTGGGTGGACTCACCTTATCACAGATGTGAATGGCAAACAACAGGCTGAGGAAGCCAGTGGAGGGATACCGGCCATGACTCTCCAGCCATGCATCATACACATATTTAAAGAAGGTCGGGCTGTATATCAACACCTGAAAAACATAACAACAGCTTTGACCTTGTGAGAAGTGGAAAGAATTTAATCTTGATCATTTATCAATCAATGAACCAACCAACCAATCACTAGCTCTTCAAAATCTGCATTCTTTTGTTTCCAGGTAAGGTAAACTAAAGCAGATCGACCCATAGGGCTTTGGTCAATAGTAATACTCTACTGTAGGGTGCCATTTCGGAAGCAGCCAAGGGTTCACTCACCCTATTCTTGTTTGCCTTAATCCTGGACTGGACAGGAATGTACGTGCTGCAAGAAACAAAATAAGATATAATATAAGAAATATCAAAGTATTATCACAGATAAAAGGGGAAACCAAAGTATCTTTGGTACTGTCAGTATAAACCACCATCGTTGATAAAATTCAGGCGCCGCCATCTTTGTTTACTTTGTGGTGGCCATCCGGTTGGCTATCAGCATTGGCTAACATTAGCCTACTGACTATGAGCTCCTCACGACAAACTAGTAGCCTATACCAGTAATATGATCAGTAAAAGTTGTCACGTCTGGAAAAGAAACCCGATTTTAGGTTAGAAAATGTACATTACACTGACACTGATACTGTTTTAGTTACCGTTTCGATACTTTTTTTTAATGTTTGTGTTGGTACGGTAACAGTTTGCAAACTATTGTCACATTATTTATGTTTTTACAGATGATCACAGTGTCACTGCCCCAAAGCTGTACTAATTATGAAGATGACCAGATACAGATGCAAACAGCAGAGGCTTGTTTACGGTCAAGGTCAAGGGTTGTGCATAAGGTCATATGCTATTATGATGTGCTGGGTGTAAGGTCATATAACCAATGTTGATTTGGGAATGATTTGATTTGTACTACATGTAGGCTATTCACCACCAGTAGGGTAGACTGTATGAAAAGAAAAGCTGCACAGTGTAATAGATACCAACGTTTCTACAGCTATGCTACCTTCTTCAGGATTCAAGCTGTACTGTGATATAACTAGAGCTCTAAGAATTATTGACCATCTGACCCATAACATTATTAAGCTACAGTTCAACCCTGATACTCAGGGCTGGACTGGGACCAGAAATCGGCCCTGGCATTTCTAACACACAGGCCCATTTTTTTCTTTGAGGCCCCCACACCAGCCCATTTTTACCCTCGAGGACCCCACACCGGCCCAGTTCTTCCTTGAGGCCCCCATTATTACCAAGATCATAATAATTTTGCGCAGAAAACCCAAGTTAGACAGGCCCACTGGGCAGAAAATGGGCCAGCCCACCCCTGCTGATACTCCAGGTGCCAGTTAAGATTCCTGCAGGCAGCTAAGCACCTCCACAACCTCCTCCCCTTCCTCACATCTTCCTCATCCTCAGCAGTCATTAGATAATTAACATAGGAACATAACCATAAGGATGTAACTGTCAAAAGCGTTCCAGCTGAAGCCACATTTATGACCCAGTTGAAGGAGAGTGTTAAAAATCCACACACTTAGAATCCACATGCTTAGAAGCAAACAGTTATGTAATTATGTGCCAACATGTGGATACTTGTGGTTATGGCAAACAGTTATGTCATTATATGCCAACATATGGATACTTCTGGTTGTGGCAAACAGTTATGTCATTATTTGTTTTGTTTTGGTTCTGTCCATTTGTAGCTTGTTTTTGGACACAGGTCCAGGAATGGCTAAAGGATTGCAATATTTACCTGGATCTAACCTTGCAGATAGCATTACTGGGTGATCTGAAAAGTCATAGTCAATCAATCAATAATATAATAATACTTTTAGCAAAAATGTTTATTTTTAATTCACAATCTGTAGAAGCAATGAGAATAGAAAGGTTCAGAACTTTTGTAAAACATCACAGTACGGTTGAAATATATATGGCAAATAGAAATCCTATATGGATGGTGTTAAGAGATAGATGGGAGGTATTGAATAGAGTTGAAGGATGGGACTAATAACAAATAACAACAAATAATAACAAAGATAGCTAATAATGTAAGCATACTGTGTCCATAATAAGTATATAGGTTGTATGTTGGGAGCTTTTGGGAAAGAGCACAGTTAGAAAGATATGGCATATAGAAGCAAACCGGATGGACATCATGAAAATGATCGGAGAGGTTGAGAGTAGAAGAAGTTCAGGAGCAAAAAATAAATAATATATATATATATATATATAATAGAATTATTGTAAAATTAACTCTGTCCATAAGGTGTAGATAGTAAGTATAGACCGGAAGTAGAGGCCTGGGCATTGTTGTTCACTAATTTACTCCAAGTAGGGAAAGGATGGTGGGGTTGAAAAGTAAAAAAGAAAAAGAAAAAAAAAGAAAGAAAAAAAAAGAGAAAAGAAAAAAAGAAAAAAAAACAGTTATGTCATTATGTGCCAACATGTGGATACTTGTGGTTATGGCAAACAGCCCTGAAGGAGGCACTGGGTGCACTTTTACAAATAATGTTTACACAGCGTAAAGGATACCAGACCTCATTCATTACAAACAATTCCACAGGCATTAACTACAGCTCATATTGAAGGTTTGCTAAGGTGTACTTACATACTTTCTTATGTGAACTTGATGAATGTGTAGTGAATGTGCATGGTCATTGATCACTCACTGTTTGATGGAGCCTGTGGTCAAGGCACTGGTGATCCACTGCAGGTCCAGAGTCTTGAAGGGGATGAGCAGGAGGCTGGTGGTGTTGTCCAGATCTATTGCGCTCTCTGGGTACATGACGTGATGCGTAGTCTGGCTCCCAACATCCTCCTCAAAGCCAGAGGTAGGAGCCATGTTCATTCTGCAGGAGCAGGGTTCGGTTTACGGTTAGTTCTGTAATATAACATATGGATGATAATGCTTTCACAAACTAATCAACATAGCTGCTTTGTTGAAGGTGGGATGCCTGGAGGTACAAAACTGGAATTTTATCGAAATTACATTTCTGTCATTTGGAACTTGAATGTGGTGATGAATCAGAGGCTTACTGTATATTCTCAATATCAGGCTCTGGGATTAACCGTCTTCATGACATTCCTGTAAATATCTACTGAATATCCACATCCTAGTACAGAGGGTAGTGCGTATGGCCCAGTACATCACTGGGGCCAAGCTTCCTGCCATCCAGGACCTCTATACCAGGCGGTGTCAGAGGAAGGCCCTCAACATTGTCAAAGACTCCAGCCATCCTAGTCACAGACTGTTCTCTCTGCTACCGCAAGGCAAACGGTACCGGAGCGCCAAGTCTATGTCCAAAAGGCTTCTCAACAGCTTCTACCCCCAAGCCATAAGACTCCTGAACAGCTAATCATGGCTACCCGGACTACTTGCACTGCCCCCCCACCCCCACCCCATATTTTTACGCTGCTGCTACTCTGTTAATTATTTATGCATAGTCACTTTAACTCGCATGTACATATTACCTCAACTACCTCAACTAGCCGGTGCCCCCGCACATTGACTCTGCACCGGTACACTGTATATAGCCCCCCTACTGTTATTTTATTTTACTTCTGCTCTTTTATTCTCAACACTTTTTTGTTGCTGTTGTTTTATTTTACTTTTTTATAAAAAATTAATGCATTGTTGGTTAAGGGCTGTAAGTAAGCATTTCACGGTAATGTCTACACCTGTTGTATTCTGATGCATTTGGCAAATACAAATTAGATTTGATTTGATTTGATTAGTAGTGCAATGGCACGTGGCAGTCTGTGTAATTCCTGCTTCTCCACATGATCATACAGTTCATATTTGTGTCCCAGTTACAGTGAGTACATTGAGGGCAAAGCTTTAGCTGCCCGTTTAATTAATCTAGTTAGTTTGTTCTTCCAAGAGGGGATCTGTGTGTGTGTGTGTGTGTGTATGTGTGTGTATATGTGTGTGTGTCTGTGTGTTAAGTGAGTGTGGGGTGAGCAGTATAATCAATTTCAGACAAGAACTTTCCTCCTCATTTACACACTGATAGTTGGTCTGGCTCCTCATTGAAAAACAGTGCAGAAATCCAATCTAAAGCTGGGCTTTTCACTCACAGATGTGAGGTGCATAACTATCACTACATCTGTTGGGCTCTAGGATCCAACCTAATGAAGTTACTTGCTGAGGCTTTACCCCATCATACATGGATCAGAAGTTGATTGATGTTTAATCCACCGCTCATCCAACGCTGTAAGCGTTTTATACTCCAGACAAGCTAATTATGTTTGAATAAATGAACCTGGTGCATCTTTGACACCTGTGATATAGCAGCTCTCATAGAACCAGATTATTTTTTTTTAAGTGTGAGGGGTTTTGCTGGTAAATATTTATTATCATTACATGAAACGGGATGGGTACTATAATTTTACATTACTTTGGGCTATGCGCTTGACAGTGGGTCAATGCTGTAAGTGTTTGTACTTGGAACAGGATGGGTACTATGATTTTACATTACTTTGGGCTATGCTTGGCAGTGAGTCAACGCTGTTAGCATCTTATTCTCCAGACGAGCTAGTCATGTTTGAATAAAATATTCCTGTGCTTCCTTGACACCTGTGATATAGCAGCTCTCATAGAACCAGAATAAATAGGCTTTTACCTTGAAAAAAAAAAGAGTGATGGATTTTACTGGTAAATATTCATTTTCATTACATAGAACGTGATGGGTACTATAATTTTGATGCAGAGCACATACGACATGTTTCTCATTTACAGTGTCGGATCTGGCAATCGAGCGTCAATTGTAAGTCATACTGTAGTAGCAGCACATGGGCTCCATCCTAAATGGCACTGTACTCCCTTTATAGTGTACTACTTTTGACCAGGGCCCATAGGGGATGCAGAATGATATGAACTGTACATCATTCCTGTGCTTGTAAGCCTCTACTGCAGAGAAGGATTGTGTTAAAAGAAAAGCAATAAGTCTTGCGTTTCTTGTCCCAGTCTCTGCGTAATTAAATCACCAAACATGCTGCTCCACAGCAGGGGATGTTGTAGAAGTTAAGTGCAGAAATACAGCTTTACATTGAGGAGAAATTGTACAGAACTGCTGGTGAGTGGAGAAAAACCATACATTTACATTTTAGCTCTTATCCAGAGCGACTTACAGGAGCAATTCGGGTTAAGTGCATTGCTCATCGACAGATTTTTCACCTAGTCAGCGCAGAGATTCGAACCATTTCCAATGGCTGCTTCTGTGACAGCATGGCCAGCACCATTGAGGGCTATCTCCATTTTGAAGTAGTCAATGGGTACCTTCGAGCGGATACAGTGTGTTGCATTATGGGGATAAAAACTGTCCGACTTGCGCCTACATGTCGACTGCATAAACTTTACAAAAACCTTATGAGCAAAGGTCATGCAGTTTTTTATGAAGTCGCCTTCAAGTCGCTGTGGTTGCTTCTCACCAACTGTACCATGCAGCCATTACCAGCATTGTGGGATGCACTATTTGTCAACCAATCATTAGGCTGCTTTTGGTTGACCCACGCGAACGTGGCCAAAGAAGTGACTGAAACAGGAACCAACGTTGCCGTGATTCTAAAGCTACAGGGGATACAAATGAAAGTGATATTTGAGTCATCTGTCTAACCAATTAATTGTAGCCTACACACGTTATGTTTTCAGTTTGTGTGATATTTCCATTTCCATTTTACATTTTAGTCATTTAGCAGACGCTCTTATCCAGAGCGACTTACAGTTAGTGAGTGCATACATTTTTTTCCTACTGATATAGGGGTATAGAGGGCTTGCAGTTGATGTACGACGCCTCCTGGCGGCCATGTTGGAAGACCACCGCATTAATTATTCCGACAACAGCCGAGTTTCTTCCCCAAACTGCATGATAACAGTGCCTAAAACTTGTTGATTCATCACCACAGTCATTTTCTGTGGATTATTTGGCTGCTCTAACAAGGCAGGAAAGACAACAGGGAAAAAGTATGTTTACAGATTCCCCGCAATCATGAAACACCATTGGTGACACCAATAAGATAAGACTCGAGAACTGTCAGAAAAGCAAATAAACCTTTTTGCATGTCAAGACCTGAACCCGATCGTCTGCTACGATCATTTCCTAACTGGTAAGTCAAGTCTGATCGATTTCGAGTTTAGTTTAGCTGTTATGCTAACCAGGTGTTAACAACAACACTAAATTAGCTATCTAGATAGCTTGTAGTCTAGCTATTAGCATGTGTCGAGCAATTTTTTCACCATAAAAAGGCACCTTTATAACAAATGATTGCATGCCTCTATCATCGCATTTGCAGACTAATGTAAGCCTACTATTCCTAATGTGATGAGTAGATTGGATAGTGATAATTTACGCTATTAATAAGAGCGTAGTGGCATAGGTTTATAAGCTATATCAGAGAGGTTTCTTTCCTTTGCACAGGAAAAATGTGGCCTTTGATAAACATTTGATGCAATTCTACTACACTTTATATGACTGGAGACATTAGCAGATTATTTTTTAATACGATGGTAGATAAGGCCTACTCTACTGTCACTGACAACAGATAATTAAAAACGACCTTGTCTTGAATGCAACCATGTAATCTAGAATATGACATTCATTTTACAAAAGCTGGATCCCTTCTAGCCATGACCATGAAAAGGGGAGGCGCAAATTGTACAATATGACGTCCATAGCCTGGAGGACAAAACTCCAGTATTTATTATACAGTTGAAGTAGGAAGTTTACATACACATTAGCCAAATACATTTAAACTCAGTTTTTCACAATTCCTGACATTTAATCCTTGTAAAAATTCCCTGTCTTAGGTCAGTTAGGATCACCACTTTATTTTAAAATGTGAAATGTCAGAATAATTGTAGAGAGTGATTTATTTAAGCTTTTATTTCTTTCATCACATTCCCAGTGGGTCAGAATTTTACATACACTCAATTAGTATTTGGTAGCATTGCCTTTAAATTGTTTAACTTGGGTCAAACATTTCGGGTAGCCTTCCACAAGCTTCCCACAATAAGTTGGGTGAATTCTGGCCCATTCCTCCTGACAGAGCTGGTTTAACTGAGTCAGGTTTGTAGGCCTTCTTGCTCACAAATGCTTTTTCAGTTCTGTCCACACATTTTCTATAGGATTGAGGTCAGGGCTTTGTGATGGCCACTCCAATACCTTGACTTTGTTGTCCTTAAGCCACTTTGCCACAACTTTGGAAGTATGCTTGGGGTCATTGTCCATTTGGAAGACCCATTTGCGACCAAGCTTTAACTTCCTGACTGATGTCTTGAGATGTTGCTTCAATATATCCACATCATTTTCCTTCCTCATGATACCATCTATTTTGTGAAGTGCACCAGTCCCTCCTGCAGCAAAGCACCCCCACAGCATGATGCTGCCACCCCCGTGCTTCACGGTTGGGATGGTGTTTTTCGGCTTGCAAGCTATCCCCTTTTTCCTCCAAACATAACGATGGTCATTATGGCCAAACAGTTCTATTTTTGTTTCATCAGACCAGAGGACATTTCTCTAAAAAGCATGATCTTTGTCCCCATGTGCAGTTGCAAACCGTAGTCTGTCTTTTTTATGGCGGTTTTGGAGCAGTGGCTTCTTCCTTGCTGAGCGGCCTTTCATGTTATGTTGATATAGGACTCATTTTACTGTGGATATAGATATGTTTGTACCTGTTTCCTACAGCATCTTCACAAGTTCCTTTGCTGTTGTTCTGGGATTGATTTGTGCTTTTCACACCAAAGTACGTTCATCTCTAGGAGACAGAACGCGTCTCCTTCCTGAGCGGTATGACGGCTGCGTGGTCCCATGGTGTTTATACTTGCGTACTATTGTTTGTACAGATGAACGT